TATTAGCATGTGACTCATTTATATTCCTTTATAATCTATACCAGCACTGCCCAGTAAACAGCAGTGGAAAATCAGCAGCATTGTTGCTTTCTGTCACCACCTCCAGCATTTTGCAGGGAGCAGCTGAATAAGTGGTTTGTGTCCAGACTGTAGAAGGAGATTTATCATTACATTGTAACAATATTATAGACATTGGAAATGAAAATATGCTACTTTGGCTATATAGTTATAATGTCTGTATGCACCAGCACTGTTGATAATAGATGCCTTCACGTGGTATCAGTAAACCTGTTACCCGGAAGGCTTAACTCGGAAGGCTTAACTGCCATTGCATACTAAACCGCTGTCCCCAAAATTCTGGGCCAAGCCCATGTTTTTAAAAAGCTTGCCTCTGTAAATGTCCCTTGTGCTCAGCACCAGCCAACGGGACTGTAGACTGTAGAGTGCAGTTCCTACATGGCTGCAGGTTAGAGGCAAGTAACATAATCTGTTCACGACCTATGGTTGTAATAAAACAGCCTTTATTAAAGCGTATGAAGAGAAAAGGCACTTTACCATCCGGCTCTGTAAACATAAAACAGCTGACCAGGTGCTCAGTTCTCAAAATTATATTTAATCTAAAATAATATAAATAAACCCCTTAGGCTAGCCATAGTTAGGAGATAGCAGTCTCAAGATTGGTACAATGTCACACTAATTCATATATCTGAGTATAAAAAGCCACTTTCTTGCCATAGCAAAAAAGATCCTTAAAGTTAAGTCTTGTTTTCTTTTTTTGGATCGCCCATTTTTTTTTGTATGTCTTTTTCCATCCCAAAATAATCAATGAAGCGCAGTACACATTGGCTGTACCTGTAAGCATTGCTTCTCTATTATCTGGCGAGAAAAAAAAATAGTTTGCTTCTATGGAAGGATTTAAAAAGATCATTCACCCATAGCTGCTCAGCATTTGTGTCCCTGGAAATGGCCTGCCCCTTAACATTTTACTGCAAGGCCAGATGTCCTCGTGTGTATTTAAAAATATTCTTTGGAATATGCATTTCATTGCAAGTAATGCATCTATGCTTGTTAGGGACTTACAAAATAAATAAAAACATATTCTTTTATGGAATTCTTACCGTTATCAGTGGATATATGTTAGTACAGATTTTCCAATATTTCAGATATATTAATATGTTTCAATAACTTTATATTCAAGTTTTCAGAAGTTTACA